TGGAGGCCGGATGGAAGAGTAGGGCAAATCTGGAGGCCCAACAGGCCAGACAAATTGTCCAGTTAGCCAAGCAAATCATGTTATCGGAGCATTTTGTTTCTTTTATGTTGTAGCAAGGATACACTCTCCCCCCTCGCGGCCCTCCCGACCCTTCATTTAGTTAGATTGTTAAGTAACTTCCAAACATAATTTTGAATTGTATGAATTGGTTATTTAATTTGTTAGGCAGTTTCGGTTTGTTATTTTGAATTTATGGGAAATATAAATTTTTAATTTAGTTTTTTTTTTAAATTACCAAAACTCAGCGACGGAATCCATTGCTAAAAAGTTGGTAGGTGCCTCGCTTTGCTAAAGGCCCCTTGCAAATCTGTTGCTAATCCTTTCCCTTGCAAATCTGGTTCCTCACTAATCTGTCATTAAAAATGACCCTCGCTAATATGTCGTTGATAAGTTCCCTTGCTAATATATTGCTGATACTAGATGTCGTTGATCCAACGCTGATAGCCGTTGTTGATAACATCATCCACGACATTTTGCCCCATGAACTATTAGTGACAAATGTGTCAATCACTTATAGCGGGAAATCATACGCTTATGTGAAAAATTATCCTCTCATCAATGTTCTACTGAACTGAACTAATAGTAGTTTATCATTTAGAAAGAATGGCGAAAGAGGCCTCCTTGCATTGCCCAACTAGAGCGAAAAGCCTTATTACAGTCTTGTAGTGCTCATTATCCCTCAATTAGACCCATTAAGGTCTTATCAGGCTCATTATGACCCACTGATAGCCAAAATAACATAGGTAGACCGTGGCACAATAGTGGTGCAAGTATACGCTAATTATTAAGTTCGTTTTTCTAATAATACAATGACAAGTTATAAATATTGTTTCAATAGGTACCGAATTACTAAGAATCGGAGATTTTCACGAACGTCCGATGCGAAGTTAGAGTATAAAAAAATGAGTTGTTGTTGGCAGAATATTGATGACTTAAAAATAACAGATGATAAAAAAAGGGTATGGGTGTAAGTTTTCCCCGAGAGTACAATAATAACTTAAATGATTGATGAAATCGGTCACAAAAATGATCCCATATGATTTCCTCCTCTCGAAGATACATCGCATGGGTTGTGATTACGCTTTTATCATAAAGTATCCACAAATGTTAACTTTCGGTTTGTCAACCTTACTAAGTAGATCTCTAAGATCTTAGCTCCGCCAATATGGAGAGATGCACATATCTCTATGACACACCAACTCGACCGACATCTGAACCTTAGTATGATTATGCAAAAAGCCATATCTCTATGTGATTACTGAAGATTTTCTCAAATCTCATTGCATCATTCAAGCCGTATGTCGAATCCGCACATCTCTGGATCAAAGATATAATATTAACACAACTGATCGGCTTGTCCGCTTTGAGTTAAACTTTCAACTTTAATGACCAAACCTAAGAGTTAGCAAAAAATGGTAACACTCAAGTGTTACATTTTGACCTCTTAGGTTTGGCTTACACCCACACCGAAAGGAGGTTTTAACTACTTCTCATAAGTAAAAACATAATGAAAGAACAAAAATACTTAAACATAAATTGCATTAAATGAAAACTTGCCACCTTCGTCAGAACCCACAGTGGTTAAAAGTAAATTGCAGGAAATTAAACTAATTAAAAATCTCCTTCTAGCCATGTAGGTTCAAATGCGGTGATCGCGGGTGGTCGCCTGAGATTAGTCGGCTCGCATAGCGAGTTGGATATTCAGGTGAATAAAAAAAAGTAAATTGCAGGAAATTAAACTAATTAAAAAGCAAATACAAGAACTAAGTAACTCTAGGTTGATTCTTGGTGATATATGATGCTCCAAATGAAGTGCCTAAGCCCTCTTTATATAGGTGAGGAAGAGAGAGATAGTGAAAGAGACTTGAGATGGAAGAAAGTGATGTATCATGGTTGTCTTCTACTCCAAGTATGTTTTATCCCTATTGTCCTTTTTCTCTTCACTTTCATGACATCTTTGGCCTTTGACCAAACTTGAAACCTGCATCTTCTTTTATAGTCTTGGCAATAAATCCTTAGTAAAGATTTTCTACAGCTATTGTTTGCCACAATGGTGACTCGTCATACTGACTTATAACGTCAAAATCCGACTTTTTAGCTATTTCTCAACTTTATGAATGATTTAGACCAAATAAATATTAGAAGGCTCAAATGGGTATGTGGATGGCTAAAAAGAGTGAAAAAATAGGTTTAAAAAGGTTACAAATAACTCCAAGATTTGAAGGTTATCACCCAAATAGAATCATTAAGGAGTATTAAGATCCATTATACCCACTTAGAGCAAAACATCCATTAATGACCCATTAAGTAGGGGTGTAAATGATGTGAGTCGAGCTCGAGTATCACTATACTCGACTTGAACTCAAAACCCAATTTTCAAGCTCGAACTCGACTCAAAAGCTCGCGAGTAGTAAAAATCAAAGCTCGACTCGAACTCGATAACTATTTCTCAAGTTCGAACTAGAATCAAGCTCGAACTTGAGCTCGAATCAAGCTCGAACGGCAACTCAAATCAAGCTTGAACTTGAACCCAAGCCAAACTCACTCATTGAAATCTATGAAATATTAGAGTGTTTCTCTTATAAATTTTAGAATTTAAAGGTGTTCTCTTAATTTTTATAAAACTAAAGAGATCAACTTCAAACTTCATCATAAAAAAAACAAAAGTTAGAAATTTCATTCACCTCCCTCTCTTTTTATAACATTTTTTCTTCTTTTCTTTACCATCTCTCTTCCAATGTGGGACAATTTCACTGACATTTTTTTTTATAGTTTTTTATCTTTTTTTAATTGTGATTTTAATATAAAATAATTGATTAATTTTTATAATTAAAAATGCATAATTTTGTTTAAATATCTAAAATATAAGACATTTCTGTGATTTATATTTCAGTCATTTATATTTCAGTATTTACATTTCAGTCTTTTACATTTCAGTCTTTACATTTCTGCAATTTACATTTCTGTGATTTATATTTTACAAATTTTATCATAAAAACTTATTATATTTTCAAACTAATCATATAAAAAATAATCGAGTATCTCACGAGCTTTCGAGTCGAGTATTGGGTAGCTTGACTCAACTCGTTAATATGTCGACTCGAGCTCGAGTTCGATCCGAGCTTATTCGAGTCGAGTTTTGACCGAGTTGATCTCGAATAGCTCGCGAGTTGTCTCGTATCGTTTACACCCCTACCATTAAGGATCACTAAGACTCGTAATATACCTAATTACACCAATTAAAGTCTAATTACACTAATTATGACAAATTTAGACTTGCTAAGGAGAATAAGACACATTTTACCACTTAGACCAAAGCAACCCATTAACAAGCCATTAAGAACACCAAGAGCCGTTATATCTTGATTAGATCCATTAGGGTCTAATCAAACTCAATAGACCTACTTAGAAGATAACGACCTATTAAAACCTATCGTGACACACTCAGGGTCCAATAATACCCATTATCGTCGAATAAAACTTGTAATGACACATTTGGACCAAAATTGACTATCTATGACTAATAAGATCCATTATGACATATTTAGACCCATTATGGTCCATTGACTACTAATCATGCCCAATATGACACATTTATACCCAAATGGGCCATAACTTATTTGTTCTTAATGGGCGTATTGGATGTTATTGGCTGTTAATAGACCTTAATGGGTCATTTTTGTGGTTAATGAACCTTAACAGATCTAAGTATGTTATAATGGTGCTTATAGGTCGTTGATGAGTCAGTTTGATTCAAGTTGATTGAAACGAGGGTTTTTGATTCTTAGTTTAAATAAAGTCGCCAAACTAGATTGTAAAATGATGTACACGAGTTTCAACCTGATCAATCCAACCTAACCCACATGGTTTTGGGTTGGGTTGAAATTGTTCATACCGCAAACATTGAGTTGAGTTATTCAAATGCATTCAACCCTGGTAACCCAACTCATGTGCAAACTTATCTCACTTATCTTATTCGATAACATTCCAGACATCAAAATAGATTGTTGGTAAACGTCTATTGCCCGGTAAGCGCTAACCGAATAAGAATCTTCTCCCTTACTTACCATGTAAGATTCTTGGTCATTGTCATACTCACCCGGTAAGCGTTTGGTAAATGACACCGAAGTGGTCATATTAGGTCTTATTAAACCTTAACGGGTCAAAGTGTGTCAAAATGGGGCTTATTGGTCGTTAATGGGTAATTTTGCTATAAGTGGGGGCATAATGGTTCTTATTAATCCTTAATGGGTCATGTCTGTATATGTCAATCATAATGGATCATTTTGAGCCTAAGTTGACCTTAATTTACAAATTTTTTTATTTAATATGTTTGATAATAATCGATGGACTTTGTATTCCGTTGAATATCCCTCAAAATATTAGTGTACAATTCTCTAATTAGATTATCTTCTAAAATAATTTAAATTCCGTTGAAAATCCAATAAAACATGGAATTGTGTAGGTACATAAAACAAGAAAACACATATTTTTGAACAACAGAGCATCAACAGATTTTCTACTGAATTCCATCCAAAATCTCATAAGATCCATCAAAAATAGTAAACTATGGTTGACCAAATACCTGTCAAAACCGTGTTCCATCAAATAAGCCTTGAAAAGATTCCCATGAAAATCCGTCAAAAATACAAACAAAAGGGTCAACTGTTTTTAACCAACTTCTGTCGAATGATTAGAGTACGGTTGAAAAAGCCTCGACGACCCCATATTATTTACATTGCACATTTCATTTCTCGCTTGACAAAATTGCCAAGTTGTAAGTTTGCCAAACCGGTCCTATTTCAGTCCTCGACCAGTCCGATCTGTATTTTGCTAGATCGGGACCTGGTCCAGGTATTTTTCTGACTTCTTTGACCAAACCAGATATTTTAGGACCAATATGTGCTGATCTCTATACAAACACGCCTCAAAAGGCTTTGTAGGCACAATTGACAAAATGTACATCTTATAAATATGACTTCATTATCTACAGACACAATGAGGAAGCATCGATACAGACCGTAGAGACATTTAGACACCCATATTGCCTAATTCAAGGTATTTCCAGTGAAATATACATAATTACGACTTCATAAGTGGAAATTTATGAGAGTTTTACACTAGCGGCTAATCCAACTAGGACGAAAGAGTATACCACCACGTGAGGTGTGTGTATGACTTAGCCGCTTCTTCCTGTATCTCCATGCCACCTGGATGGTGGTTGCCGCCAAGCCTCGCCAGTACGGAGACTCGTTCCTGAATATAGCAATGTGTAAGTGTAGATGGTTATAAACAGTGAAATTGTTTTAATTCACATTAGGAACATTATTTGTTCCCACATTGGCTAGACACAGAACATCAAAGCTAGCTATATATATATATATATATATATATATAGAGAGAGAGAGAGGGGGGGTTAAGGAAAACCCCCAAAAATGAAAAACCAAACGTAACCATTTATCTGGATGGTATGCACATGTGCATACAAGTAATTGAAGTTGTTTCTTGGTTTTTATGCACATGTGCATACCGGATTGCAACTTATTTGTATGCACATGTGCATACCATCCAAATGAATGGTTATCAGGATGTTCCTCAGTTTTTCATGGTTTTCCCCTAAACCTGGCTCTCTCTCTCACTCTCTCTCTCTCTCTCTCTATATATATATAGAGAGAGAGAGAGGGGTTTAAATAAGAAGGTTAAAAATTGTGAGAAGGTAAGAAGGAAATGTTTAGAAAAATCATATGAGAATCATTGAAAAAACCCGAAAAATATCTATTTGTGATGCATATGTGAACCGACATTACAAATTATTCATGAGTTTACACTATATATATATATATATATATATATAGGGTTGGGTTCACGTGAGACCAGCCTGTTTTTGTGAGACCTGTGAGACCACTTTTTTACATTTGAAACTTAAAACAGATTGGTCTCACGTGATCCCAAATCTATATATACATATACATACATACATACATATACATACATGCATACATATATATACATACATACATAGGGTTGGGTTCACGTAAGACCAGCCTGTTTACATGAGACCCGTGAGACCACATTTTTACACTTGAAACTTCACAGCAAAAACACTGTGAAGGTTTAATAAAGTCGAACCTTCACAGCAAAATGCTGTGAAGGTACATTGTGAAGGTTACCTTCACAGCATTTTGCTGTGAAGTTTCAAGTGTAAAAAGGTGGTCTCACGGGTCTCACGAAAACAGACTGGTCTCACGTGATCCCAAGTCTACATACATACATACATATAATATATATATATATATATATATATATATATATATAACCTCCCTGTCTATCAGGGTTTTTTAGAGAGATTAAAGGGGTTCCACATATCCCCTCAGAAACTATGATCACGATCAAATCATCTACTGAATGATCCAATCTCAACCGTATTCATCTACTGATGCATCATCATTGATGAAATTACATCCTTTCCTATTTCTCAAGTTTGTAGCCATCTTCACTCTAACAACTACTATCGCCTAAATAGTATTCTTCAAGTTCCTTCTATTCATTGCAACTTATTGTCCATTCATCAGTGAATCAAAGATAATGGTCATTTCTTTGAGTTAATCTAGTTTGCTTTTTTTTGCATTAAGAACAACCATCAAGAGGATCCTCTGCTCTGGGAATAGCTCCCATGGTCTTTGTGTTTTCAAGCCTTCTAGATCATGTGTTTATGTAGAACTTCCTTTCAGTTTGCATCCTCCCAAAAAGTTCAAAGATATTAACAAGTTGGTATATGGATTTTAGATCTTATTTGCAGCGTTTTCAGACTGCAAATGATCTCACAAGCATTTCATTCATCTCAATTTAACATTTTCTCCATGCAAGAGGAAGCAGATGCCTTACATTAGAATGATCCTTCGACTCTCATTCCCCTTCTATCCTCTTCAAGTATGGTTGGATTTCATGGCGTTTGATGTTTAAATTCATGCATAAATGTTCAACAAACTACCCACCAAAATCTGTGGCAAAATTTCCCAGAAATTTCTCGTTCTTCCTCTACTCTCTTTCTAAACCTATATTAGTTCATATGCATGAATATTGTGTAAAAGATGCATTACCTTATGGCAATCTGAACACGATGATTCCTCAAGAAACCAGCAAAAAGGCTGGTGACTTCTTCAAGATCTGCAGCCCGAAGCACAAAGGCCTCAACATTTGTTAAGCATTTCACCGTCCTGTTGCTACGTAATCTGTATCTTGGTTGTGTATGATTTCTTGCATCTGTAACATTATATTGCGACAAGAAACGTTATCAATGAGTTCTTGGTCTTAAAAATAACAGTGGTAAGAGAGAATCTTTAATGCAGATGTGCCCCCACCACACCAGTCCCATGGTCATCATGGGGGAGGTAAATCAGCGCATGCATCCCGTTTGGCAGAGGAGAGGTGCCCAGACTCGAACCCAAGACCTCACTCATAGGGATTATACCCACACCTCTATTGATGGGACATAGATCATTTCAATTTTAAGATGGTTTTCTATATTGGGAAACATAAGTCCGGTTATGGTTATTAATTCCAACTGGTTGTTCTTACTACCGGATGCCTGTTGCAAATAAGGAGTCCTCTAATGATTTCGAAAGTACATCCCGGAACTTCCCAAATTCAGATGTAGTTATCGAACTTCTTCCTTGAGCCAAAACTGTTTTAATCACTATTAAAATTTAAAGGCAACTTATTTGACACTTAAAAGTCGAATATTGGACCTTATCGTGGGAGAGCATAATCTTGCAAATTGCAATGGCCATATTACTACCTTGATAAAGGTAAAAAGATCATTGATTTATCCCAGCAAAATCAGATTACATATCGGCTGCTTCTGAGAACAAATATAGATAAAACAAACCAAACCAACCTAAATTGATCTGGCATATCCCACACAGAGGTAGGTTTTGGGAAGGGTAGGATGTACACAGTCCGTGAAGACCCCTGACTTGCAAAACAAAAAGAACAGGTGACAAGTGTGGTAATCAGGGCCGATCCTGAGCTTTTTGATGCCCAGGGCGGAACACTAAATAGGCCCCAACTGAAAAAACACAAACTATTTTGGGATTTGTAACAATGTTGAAAGGATGTTAAACCATCTCCAATCGTTTGCAGAATTTCTTCCAAACTTTGTGCAAATAGTAGTAAAGTGTGTGATAACAAATATAGATAAATTAAATTCAATGTCAGAAAGATATGCATACATCATTATGGAATTCGAACCAGGCATGCAAGTAATAATATGATTAGAGAACATATTTATACCTCCATTAACAGAGGAATCTTCAAGGCACCATCTTAGAAGTTCTTCGCCACACACATCACCCTCCGACAGTGGAACTTTATTACCATCTTCACCCATGCTCTCCATCTTCCCTCTTACTATAAAAACCATCTTCGTCACAAGCCCTCCTTGATATAAAGTTTTTCCTCCTTTGATGTATGTCTTTTGCCTTAACCTTTCACATATTGCATCTAAAATTGGTTCATCCATTAGTGCAAAAATTCGGACCTGCAAATTGAAACATAGAGATACAGTTTTAATGATCTGTGCATAGTGACTGTAGGTAGTTTTCAAAGAAAACATAGATCATCTTAACCAAATCCCCAAATCAAAACTCTAGAGGATTGGTTATAGATCATATCATGACAAGCATCCTCAAAGGTTTCTAGAAAGTGTTTAGAAGCAGTATTCTCTTAAAAATACACCATCACCAAGCGGGAACAAAGGGGGAGGGTCAATAAAGCTCCATTTTCATGTAATATTTCAGAACATAGCAGTTATAAGAAAATATGTAAAGGAACTACTGAGAGTAAAACCCGCAGAAATCATAGTTCTTGATTTCTCCTCTTTTTCTATTATATCTTCAAATAAAGAAAGCAGAAATATATATACAAAAACAAACTTAACTAACTTCCACGAAAATAGGAACAACTAAACTACTTCTAAGCTATCTCCAACAACTAGATAATCACAAGAATCTAACCACCGAATGCACCAGCTGGCCAGATAGGAACGCACCAGAGCTCGACACTCCTCCTGAAGCTGGGTTATTATGTCAATCATACCCAGCTTGGATCGTAACTCCTCAAAAAACCTGTCTGGGGAGTGCCTTGGTAATGTCCGAAGTTGTTGCTTTGATGGTATGAATTCCAGCCGAAGCTCACCTTCCTCTAACTTCTCTTAAACGAAGTGTCAGTCCAGCTCCACATGCTTGATTCTTTCATGATGTACAGGATTTTTTGCAATCTCAATTGCCGCCTTCTTGTCACAACGTAGCTCCATTGGATCAGAAGGAGTAAGTCTTGGCTCAGTTAGCACCCGTTTCAACCAAATGCCTTCACAAATTCCATGACACATTGCTCTAAACTCTGCCTCTGCACTACTTCGGGAGACAAGAGCTTGCTTTTTTGCTTCTCCAGGTTACTATGTTACCCCATACATATGTGCAACATCTGGTAGTAGACCTTCCGTCCAAGCGTGAGCCCCCCAACTGCATCTGTGTACACTTACAGTTGCCTATCGTTTGTTTTTCTAAGGAATAATCCCTTCCCTGGACTTTGCTTTAGATATCAAAAGAATACGAAATACTGCCTCACGATGGTCTTCTGTAGGCTGATTCATGTACCGACTTACCATTCCCACAACAAACTTATGTCCCGTCTCGTATGAGCCAAGTATATAAGTTTTCCAACCAATCTTTGATAGCTACCTTTATCAGTTGTCTTTCCATCCTTACTTTGATGTTTTCCCAATGGATCGACTGGGGTTGTAGCCGGCTTACATCCCAACATTCCTGTTTCCTTCAACAGATAAATAGTATATTTTCTTTTGAGTTAAGAACATATCTTTGCGAGATCTTGCCACCTCCATGCCTATGAAGTATCTTAATCTTCTTAGGTCTTTTACTTTGAATTTCCGTGCAAGGATATCCTTAAGATGGTGTATTTCTTCAGCATAATACCTACTAAGATGATATCATCTGCATAAACTATCATTATAGCTCTTGCTCCGGTCAAATAATCCTTGAAGAACAGGGTGTGATCAGTTTGACACTGAGTAAACCCAAGTTTCTTCACCACTTGTGTCAGTCTTTCAAACCATGCCCTTTGGTGATTGTTTTATCCCATAAAGGGATTTCTTTAGTCTACATACCTTACCAAATGAGTCCTTTGGGTTGATTCCCGATGGCAAATCCATGTACACCTCATCTTCAAGTTCCCTGTTAAGAAACGCATTCTTGATGTTGAGTTGGTGCAATGGCCAATCCAGGTTAGCTGCAAGAGAAAGTAAGACTCGAATCGAATTAAGTTTGGCTATGGGTGCAAATGTTTCCCCGTAATCGACTCCATATGATTGGGTGAATCCCTTGGCCACCAACCTTGCTTTGAACCGATTTATGGTTCCATCTGCATTATACTTCAATGTGAACACCCACTTGCGCCACACAGTTTTCTTACCAAGAGGCAATGTCGAATACTCCCATGTGTTGTTCTTTTCAAGTGACTTTAGTTCCTCATTGACAATAGACTTCCATTCGGGATCAGTGAGAGCATCTTGTATATCTTTTGGAATCATTATGTAGTCTAGGATGTTACAAGGGCACTATGAGTAGCTGACAAGCCTTTATGAGTCATAAACTTGCTGATGGATGAGCTGGGCATGACCTTTTCCCTTTCCTTAGAGCAATGGGTACATCTAGATCATCAGACTCATTCACGAGACCATCATCCAAAGAATCTTCTCCAACAACATCATTATTTGTGTTATCGCCTGCAGAGTGAGTAGGATTCACACCTCCCGGTATTTCAGCCTCAGATCTCGGATCAGTCTCCTCGCAGTGTGTGGTACCAACCTCTTTTCTCCTTTCACCTTTCTGTTGTCTTGAGTATACCAAGGTTTCTTTCTGGGTTGGTGGATTAGGTGTTTCAATAGGTTGTTGGGTGTTAGGAGAGAGGGAATATAAGAGATCTGGACAAGCTGACATTGGAAAAACAGAATCTGGATGATCAGGAATGTTTTGCAGCGGATTAGAGTGACTACGAAGTAAAATTTGTAACCAAAATATGATATTCCCTGGAAATATTCTTCCCCTAACTCTCAGATTTGGTGAAAAATGGTTGGCTTTCAAAAGATGTGACTTCCATAGAGTAATATACCTTTTTTTGTGGAAGGCGAGTAACACTTGTATCCTTTTTGACAATTAGAATAACCCAGAAAGATACATTTAAGAGATTTGGGATCAAGTTTGCTACGGTTTTATGGTGGTACATGAAGAAAGGTTGTGTATCCGAATACTTTAAGAGGAATTAGGAAACGGATGTGGAGACAAGTGAGCATGAGTGTTTGTAGAGGTGTGTGATAATTTAGTACTCTAGATGGCATGTGGTTTATTAGATATGCCGATGATAATATGGCATCTCCCCAGAATAAGGTGGGACATTTGCAGTAAAAATAAGCGAGCGGGCAACTCCTAGGGTATATCTGTTTTTCCTCTCGGCACCTCCATTTTGTTGTGGAGTGCCAACACACGAGCTGAGGTGAATGATCCCATTTTCTTTGAGACAGGATCCTAGGTTTGACTCAAAGAATTCAGTTCCATTGTCTGTTTCCAAGACTTGGATTTTTGTGCGAAACTGGGTTTCTGAATCTTATGGAATACTTGGAATATATTTCTCGCTTCGTTCTTCCTGTCGTAAGATCATGTAGAACACTTTTGATTTTAAAGATCGCTGAGGCATTGTCTTTGTTGGAGTAAGTATCACGGGCTGCATCCCCTATCTCCTTGGCCGTCTTGTAGTACATAAAGTTCTCACTAGTTTCATTGGTCATAGAACTCAATAACCAAGACATTACCATGTTTTTTTCAGTTTTCCAAGTCCGATACTTGGGATTGTTTGTTTCTGGAACAAAAATAGCTCCAGTTAGGTAATCTTCCTTTCCTTTTCCGCTTATAAACATCATCACTGAGTTTGACCATTGATTGTAGTTGTGGTGGGCAAGTTTGTGCCAGGTAATCGGAATGTTCCCACCTTCGATTAGAGTGGTGTTGTATTCGACATGGATGTCTGTTGAGAACTCTCGATGGAGCTGCTGCCTTGGGCTTCACTCGTCATGGCTATTCTCCTGTATTGGACCATCAGGGTGATGAATAAGTGGTGGATCAGATCTGCTCCGATACCATATTGAGAGTAAAACTGGCAGAAGTCATAGTTCTTGATTTCTCCTCTTTTTCTATTATATCTTCAAATACAGAAAGCAGAAATATATATAAAAAAAAAAAAAAACTGAACTAACTTCCACGAAAACAGGAACAACCAAAGTACTTCTAAGCTATCTCCAACAACTAGATAATCACAAGAATCTAACCACCGAATGCACCAAGCAGGCCAGATAGGAACGCACCAGCTGTCCAGATTAGGATTCAACAGGAACCTACTTGATAGTATATATAATTATGTGAATAGTGTATTCATGTTATATTTCCTAAGTGTAAATATGGTATTCAGTTAGGTTTCTGATTCTTTGAATGTAGTAGATATATTGAGAAATATATGGAACCCAGAAAGGGATTCAGACTAGCATGGTATCAAAGCTTACGCTCTTGACCTGATTTCTTCTTCATTGGCGGACTGTCCCCTCGCCACACCTGCTTCCCCAGCACACACGTCTTCTTCTTCCACTGCTCGATGCACCTGCTGACTCAGCACCACCATTGACCTGATTCCATTTCAGTCGTACCGGCTGCCTCGACGGGCTCTTCTCTCGCTACACCTGCTGTCACTGTGCCGCTGTCGTCCATCCTCTTCTTCCACTGCAATCATCCCTCGGTAAGCTTAGTTGCCCAGAATGGCATGCGGATAAACCAAGTCTTCAAATTATCATCTGAAATTCACCCTTCTTAGATTGTCAACAACATTTGGAACCTCATCACCCTCATCCTCAACCAAAGGTCCAAAAAACCTTCTTGGGCGGAACTCTTCCAAGTTGTTGATTGTGCTAATCGTGTCATGGATCACATTAATGATATGTCTGACCCGATCCTACCATCACTAAGTCTAACTGAGGTTCTCCTAACAACCCTCAAACCTGGATCAACTGCACGTGAATCATGGTTTCATCTCAAAAATCTCTGGAGAACAGCGAAAGCGCTCATGGAGCAAATTTGGAGAACTGGTTTAATCATGCTAACCTAGAGATATTCTCAGCTATTGTCTCTTATTTCAGCATCTCAAGATGCTCTCAGATGAACTTTTGGATGTGGATCAATCTGTAAGTGATAAAAAATTGACAGTTAATTAATGGCTTGTACTATGAATATGATAACCATCAGCACCACTATCAGCAATGCCAGCCCTCTTCCCTCCTTTGATATGGCACGCAACATGCTTCTTTGAGAAGACCCTCACGAGTTACCGGTAGATCCCAGCAAAGTTGAGGAGTGTGCGTGAGTATTTGCCGTATGCAAATATATACTTAAATAATAGACCCCTCACGGGCGCCATTCAGACAACCAGGCTGGCCATGGTCGCCGCTTCCCCACTATCCCTTCCAGCCTCTCCCACTCCCTCTTTCAACAGTTGACGAGGAGCAACCATAACAGGAATTGCGGGGAACCTAAAGGGTAGCCCAACAAACACCAATAGCGTGGCCAGCAACCTTGTCACAGCCAATAACGGCACCACCCAGCAGCCTCCGCACTGGACCGCATCTACCTGGCCCTCACCTTATATCTGGGGTGCCCAGTCGGCAATGCCTCCTTGCCCACACCCCATGATTAGCTCGAATCCAACCTAATAGGCCTCCTAGTGCTGGCATTCTCAGTTCTTTTTCACGCTGCAAACTCTTCATTCTGCCACATTGCAACCTTCTTACGATCTAGAAATATAAGGGCACACTAGAAATAAAGCGGATGCATCTTTAAGGCCCCCAAAACATTTCCACCACATCGGGACGATGGAGCGGGGGCACATGCACCCCCTCCTGTCTATGTAGGTCCGCCTCCTGATTCATGATGTATAGACATTGGTGCATCTTCTCACAAGGCTACCTACCGAGGTAGCTTTCATACTATTTTTTGATCAAACACCATAATCCAGACCAATCCTTAGATAGGGCATCTTCAGTCTCGTGAATCAAAAAGTTAGACTACACACTGCTAAGTAATAAGACAGGGCACTGAACCAACTAAATTGAACTTTACCGCTCACATGAAAATCTTCCATCATCTGTATAGATAAGTTGCATCAACACCAACATGCAATACAAGACATATTTTGTTACAGTGTGGAGAATCTGGATTTAACAGAGGGAGTTGCATTAACAATTGCATGCAACAGAATGCATATTTTGTCAACAATGTTGATAATCCAGGTAATAGACAATGAACAGAGGAATTATAATATATACTTGTTAAACCTCTAGGGTTGCAACACAAAACCAATTGGTCGTGAGTAGAGTAACCAACTATCATATAAACTCTTCATACTCCCTTCGTCCCAGAATGGAGGTCCATAATGAAAAGGCACACATTTTAGAAATGAGTAATCATTACAATTTTTTTAGTTAGCTAAATGAAAATTTTACCTTGACAATAGATGGAGTAATGAATTTCTAGATCACATAATTAAGGGTAGAGTTGGAAAGACTTATTTTGGGACAAACTAAAATAGAAATGTGGACACTTATTTTGGGATGGAGGGAGTATATGATATATTTTCTGGGCATGGGACCACTGGTCTTATCACAACCCCTCACTTGTAGCCAGCCCCTCGAGGATTAAGTGAATATATGTTGATACTCACCATGCGCATGAGCCATTGGGCCTGCATGTGTGCGGTAATATGCACTAATACCATGTTAAGACTCTAGAGTGCCAACTCAAGACCAATTTACCCTACAAATTGTATTACCCGGACTTCTGATCCCTAGTCTCAACTACTTGATAGCCAATAAAATTGAAGCTCACTTTCTTGACAAACTCAAAGAGATGCCGGCGTATGTCTCTTTGCACGTCTTCAGGCAAATTCTCCATTAGCCTTTCTTCATTAACCCCTCGGGTAGCAGCCCAATTATAACGCTCCGACTCTCGAACTTTTCTGTATATCAAAGTCGATAAATGGTCACATTTGAGCCAATAGACATCAAAACTAAACTAATATAAAACACAATAAAAAAGAAGAATCTTTCCATCACTTATTGTTTATCACGTAGCAGATTAAGGGTTTCATCATTACGAAGACCAAAGAACTTCAAAATCACACGGTGAGTAGAAGGAAAATCTGTAGTATTTTGGTAGACATCAGATTAAAGCAAGTTTGATCTTGTTTTGCAAGAAAAAATTATACCATCCAAGAAAAAAGAACGAAAAAGCATTGCATATTCATGAAAAAAGATTAAAAAAAACATTGCACATCATAAGTGAGAAAAAAAATCATCTCATAATTGAACCCCTTGCCAACATTCTGAATAAGCCTATGGAAAAGGTTTGGATAAACCATGAACGGGAGTAGTGATTAAGCAATTAATAAAAATAGCGAGGCAGGACGTTTATACCTTCGTAGGTCTTCTGGCAAGCGTCGGTGGCTCATCCACTGCTCAACATCACGTCGTCTAAGTGACATCTCAAGCCGCCTAAGATAATATCAAAAGGCGGATGTGTGAATTCCTCGGATCATGTATATTGAAGAACTATTAATAATATCATGGATGAGTAAGGGGCAATAAGTACAATAATTGTCATAGTAAAAGATCTACCTGCGTCCGAGACCTTGAAGAAAGTTTTGCATGTTTCCAATAAGAAGCGCAAAAAGCAGAAGTCCAAGCCCAATGATGCCCATAGTAAATAGAACTTCCCACACAAAATAACTTGGAGTTTGATTGCCAGCCAGTGTGCTAATTTGCTTGGCACAATCATCAGCAAATGAAAAGGATTAGAAGGAACTCTATGATACCCATAGTAATAGGAATCCTTCTCATTATAAATAACTTCATGTCAAAGAAGGTTCTCAAATATCAAGGCTTCATCACTAATTGGAGTAAAACTGAAAAAGGATAAACTTAGGTGGTACATAAGTAGTAAAATTTATTTATGATATTGTATGAGTCCTGTTCCAAGTAACTAACGTAAAAAAAATAATTCAAAGCCTAAAAAAAGTAAAGGTTTGATAACAAAACTAGCAAGGTTAGAGGCTGTACGGTGAGCTAGGGTTTTGTTTTGTTTCTCAGCTCTCATACCTTGTAAAAGAAGAGCATTCATATTTTTGGGCTGAATTCAGCCTTCCATGATAATAAAATGGGGGTAGATGCCACCCTCTGGAACGCCCCCAGCGCACCGCTCTCACGGCCATCATGGGTGAGGTAAATCGTGCATGCAACCCAACCTTAATGACCCTACTGATGCAGATTTCCTTTCAGTCCAAAAGATACTTTCAAAAGAATTCATCTCACTTTCTTATGCATCACTGAAAGGCAATCTTGCTGATTTTATTAGAGAACTAAGATCATAATAGCTATCATGTATATGTTAGCAGAATCAATCCTAGTTGTCTTGCTAGCTGTATAACATTCAAGATTAAGATCTTTCAGGCTGTTGCTAATGTCAGCAGTTGACTGACTTCAAACTGCTTATTTGTTGCTTGACTTTTCCAAGTATAAAAGGTTAGCTTTTAGATCCCTATATGGATACACAAGATCATAGGATTTCTTTCTATTCTGTATTCATCTTTCTTCATTGACATCTTTAGATATTTTTGGGAAAAAGGTGTGTCTTCTTTGAGAATAGTTTATATTTTATACTCAACATGCAAGCTAATTTAGCCCTAAAATACAACAAAAGTACAGATGTTAGCCTAGAAACCACTATATATATATATATACTTTAGCCTAGAAACCAGTTTATATATATGTGTGTGTATATATATATATATATATGGTTGGGTTCCGGTGAGAAGGAGAGTTAAGGTGAGAACTGTAAGAAGGAATCTCCGGCCTTGGGTGCACATTAGGATGAGATGCATCGATATGAGATGCACCGAAATGCACTGGATCAATCCCTGTATCAAGCGCGATTCTGTGTTTAAACATTGGACGGATGTTACAATCATTATTACCAGAACATGCCTTTACATTCAAGAAACACTTTATTGCTAGCAACCTTTTATTGGCAGGATGTCCAAACCTTTTGTGCCACATATCTAAAGAAACTGCAACCGAAGACAATTGATAACCATGTAGTTTATAGCATTTCTCTTTGGAGTTTGACAACGAAAACAAAATGGATGCTCCTTGTTGAAGAATCTGCCATTTGAATTTGTTGTATTAAATTGTCTTTTTGGTTGATGTTGACATTAAAAGCCATTGACTGATTCCCAGTTTGTGCTACTTCCTTGTTGAATTTGACTAACATTTCTCTGCATTTCTTCTTGAGTAACCAGAGAGAAGGTTTTGTTTATTTGTGGTAAAGGATCCATGAGGACATCTGGCCACGAGTATGTGAAAAAGTCTCATTCAAACCATAAGAAAATTCATGACCTGCTCTTCTTGAAAGTAACCTTCAATTTTCTACACACCTACACACTCACATTTCCCGCACGAACAACATGGACAATAATGAGAGAGTTCTTCCATAATGATTTGAGTTTAGCGAAGTACACACTAATGGCTTCCTGATTTTGAGCCAAAGTTGCAATTTCTCTGCAGATCTGAAAAGCTCGTGCTTCATTTCCTAGCTGGAAGTGTTCTTTGAGATCTATCCATATAGCATATGCTGTAATAGCATATGTTGTATCATCATATATTATGCTACTTGATATCTCTTTGAACACAGAATTCAACAGCCATGAAACTACGATATCATTACTTCGTTGCAAGGAATTTAACAAAATCGGATCTGATTCATCTGGCTTCGTGAGAATCCATCGATAAAAGCGGCTTTGTTCTTGATATTGAGAGCGATGATAACTGCTCAACTCCAGGATGCGTAATTGTCTCTGACAAGAGGTTGTGATTCTAAAGCCATCCCTGGACTATCAGAATGGTGCAAAAAATATGGATGCATTCAGTCATCCATTGGCAATTGCTTACGGATTAGAGACGAACTCGAATAAGACGATCCAGATGACGCCATATGATTGAAGAAATCGAGTATCAGAAACTCGAAATGAAGAGAAGAATAGAGAAGAAATAACTCGGCAAATCTGATTGAAACAAATTGTGAAGAATCGAAAAAGAATCTGGAAGAAACGCTTCAGCAGAACACGTCGTGCTCTGATACAATTTTGTGGAAAGAGAGAAATCTGTATTATTTGAATTAATGAATAATACAGAGTACAACTATTTATACAACAGTTACCAAACACTAAACAGAATTAACAAAATATCTAACAAATCGCTAATACATAATTACTATATTACCCTTAGAGACTTGCTGTAATACTACCCGTGACAATAAAGGAGGATATCATGTCTCCGAAGATATTTCTGCATGTACCTCATCAACTGAGAATTCTTTCTTCAAGAAGAAACATTTTGAGCGATTCTACAATCAGAATACAAACTCATCATACACAATCACATCCACCTCTTTGTTCACACAGGTCTACTGCCATTGGTGTCTCCCTAGAAAAATCAAGCCCTTGGATCATAGATTCATGGGCTACTGATCTTATGATGGGGTCCTCTTACATATTTACCTCATATTTTCCTTGTTCTGGTTGTCAAAAAGTTAGAGTTGTAGATGGACCTTTCTCGATCATTGCAGGGAAAGGTTCAATTGTTATCTAACCATCCATCACCCAACATAATTTCCTTCATGTCCCAAGCCTAGCCTGCAATTTACTTTCAGTCAATCGACTAGCCAATAATCCTCAATGTCAGTTAATCATTACATGCGCTTTAGGTTCTTCACTCAGGGAAGATGATTGGCAGCTCTAAGGGAAGTGAAGGGCTCTACAATCTGACACAAAAGCTTCCTTGAGCAAACAAATTCAACAACATCATTACTCTAGTTTTCTATCATTGTTAGATGAAATGATGTTATGGCACTTCAGATCATGCCATCATAGAACCAATGTGGATCTTGCAGTATTTGAAGAATTTTCTGGAACAATTTGAACCATAATGCCCATATTCATTCCAACAAGCCATATGTGGAAATTTATTTTTCCAGGTTACTTTGTGAAATAACATGTTGCTCTCGTCAACACAAGTCATTGAGATATTAACCGAAGAGAGAGCATGATCTAGATTCATAGGGTTGGGCCTCGTAGCTTCAAAGTCAGATCTCAACTTCATACGAACTTGATCCCTGTTAGTAGTTTCATGGCAGCTTGAATAAAACTAAGACCTTCTGGAGGTAAATTAGCATAAATAATAACCGTATTCAGCCTAAGGATTTGTGAATCAATAGTAAAAAATAAATTTTGAGAGACTATTCTGTTTCAAGGTAGCTAAATCATGTTCCAGCTAATACCAGCTAGAGGTCTTGTTCTATCTCTAGAGTTCCTTCAAATGTTCCCGCATGACAAGCTTAGATATTTTTAGGAAAACCCGAGACACAGATCAGAGTTGTGGCTCTGATACCATGACAAGCTTAGATATTTTTAGGAAATAAGTGTTCTTCTCTTCGAGAAGAATTCTCATAATATATTCAACATACACGCTAATTAGTAGCCCTGAAATACAGCAAAATACAGAATTTTAGCCTATAAACAACCTTATATGTCCTAATCTAGGAAAACGAAATATTTACAAATATTCACAATAAAGAACATGTATTTTGCTGATTTGATTTGCTGCATAAATCTGGTGGGTTTTTGATGACGAGTTAATATCTTTGACATAAATAATATTGTTACATTAATTACATAAGTGTAAGAATCTAGCGACGTATATACCCTACCGATTTAGGATAAATACATTTTTTGTTGCTATTTTTGTTGCTTTTATGAAACTATGTGAGTTAAAATTTACATAAAATGGTTGAAGATGCTCTATAATCCTATTTAGTTTGTCTTCATATGTGTTCTTGGTCTTTGTTTCTCTTGGTGTCTTTTGTCCTACATTGATGACAGCACCCTGTTTTTGCCTCCCATTCTTATTAATACAAAGTAATGTAAGAAAATACAAAAAGTATAACAGAAATGGCCTGACAAAGAAACAAAGGAGAGATGGCCTGACATAGTAGACTTAAAAACAAAATTAGTACCTGAAACCCCCAAAAAAAGGAGTAGACATATCTTGTGATTATGCTATTTTCGGTGGTGAGATTGACAGCTTTCACATAAATTCCATAGGGGAAACCACCTTCACTAAAACAAGCACTGGAATTTCCATTGTCCTTCCAGCTTTTCCAATTTGGGTCCACTTCAAATTTCTGAAAATCAGTCCCATGCCCACAGTCTAGAAACTTCATGCAAGATTCGATTCCAGAGTTATGACAAGCATCTCGAAGGCATTGATTCACTCTCTTGAAGAATTAAATGAAAAAGAGTAAGAATAGCCTACAAACTTTAAAACACTATAAATCACATGAATAACGTGGATGAAAGGAAAGCGCAAATAGATATAATCAGCATTGAAATCTTGATTCCCTTCATAGAATTCTAGAGTTATTATCTAACCCTGTTTAATGGTAAATAACAGATTCATACTGTCTACATTTTGCAATACGACCATACATAAAATGTGAGGCACTTCATGATTCTCACCCACCTGTAACCCAAGAAGATACCAGCATGACCCAACAACATGACCAGACAAGACAAAAGTCAGAAGATTGATGATAAAGTTCGCCCACGCCGACTCAAATATGAAACCACTTGGAGACTGGCCAGCAAGAAGAGGCAGAAATCGGTATAATCTGGGAAGGTACTGAACCAGAACAGATGATCGCAACAGATTCTTTGCATAATTAGCTCCAGATGATGCAATGGCCTTTGGTAGAATAAATAATACTATCATCTGCATGGATAAGTAATTAACTTATAAAGAATGCACCATTTATGATGATAATAAATACTATTAAGCTTGAAAGAGAATCTTACCTGAGGAAGTGGTAATACAATAAATAAGTCGAGGAAAAAAAATCCGGAAAGATAATGTAACGCAATTTCTTTAGGATGGTCAACCAAGTCTCCAGCACCCACAACTCTTGATTCAGGTGAAATGAATGCTAACCTGAACTGCAATAGACATATTACATGCAACAATTACTCTCAAGTACATGATATCATGTAAATATTACTCCCTCCGACCCAAAAGTCCACAATAAAAAGCACATAGGTTAAAACAACAAGACAAGTAAACATATGTTACTAATTGTCGGTATTCTTTTGATGTAGTAGATATAGGCACCAGCGCTGCAAGGTTCTATACAATGAGAATTCAACTTGATTTTTACGTATCTACATCAAGAACAAAAATCTCCTGCCCTTAATTTCCACTTCCCCTCCCATAAAGACACATCATCACTTCATTGATAGAGTAAAAAAATGAAAAGAATGATGTGTGTTCACATGATTGGTGGGACAGAGAGGGGACATAGGATTTGGGGACTGGATTGTTCCTACATCAAGTATGGATGTCAAAGACATTATGACAACAAATTGCATATTAGGCTCACGAACTTCCATGTTAGGTAAAGAAACAAAGAAAATTTAGTTATTTCCTATCATAAAACTCCCATTTGGATGAACAGTATAAATGATAATCTTTTCCTTCTCCAGCATATGAGTATGTATGTGTCTTCAATACGCAGCATACTCATACATCAACCGTTTTATCTATCATAATAATTTTGGTACACTTTTCTTCGCAGCTTATGAGTATGCTGACCTCCCAATGCCTCGGGTCAAATCATATTCCCAAACTCCATACACATATGTCCGAATATTATTCCCATTGTACAGGTACTGTTAAATGTGTCTCCAAATCTACTTACTGAGGAAGCATGCTACTTGGGCCTGGTGAGTTGTACTCGCTTACATCTATGCGAACTATCTTGCAAGTGACAACTAGCATGAAGCAATCAACGGAACCTGGCGAACCACAACACACGACCTAAGGTCACATCCGCATCCCTCATCTGACGGGTTTTATTGCCTTATCTAAGTTTCTTTGTTAGAATACACCCAAACCCCCATTGAAGCTCCTTAACTCAAGCACTATTTCTTCATTGTTTCTTCTTGGATTTGCATTTTAACTTCATAATTTTTTGTGGATTGCTCTCGGTGGCCTCCACCCTGGGTTTCTCCCGTTTTGAGTTTCCACATAAATGTTGATGTCGTCTCCTATGTCTATTGTTTATTATATTGCAAGTCTCTTACTTTTATGATTCATTGTGCTTGATGAATGAGGATCTGATATATCTTCCCATCAAGAACCATTTTGGGTGTTCAAGCTTATGACCATTGGAAGGTTGACTTTTATGGCTAATTTGACCTTGGTTGAACATTGATGCATTGATCGGGTCGCAAAAGGGTTCTATGATGTGGCACTGATAGGGATGAATTGCAGTGGGGGTGAGGCTAAGGTTAGCTCTAATACCATGAAAGTTGTGAATACTTTTCTATCAATGATTGATCAAAAAGAATACATATATATACAAGGACACCAAATCACTACCATAATTAGCTCCTAAGAAAAACAAAGAGTACTCTATCTATCTACATTATGAACGTAAAAAATAATGCATATATAATTAGGAGAATAATTCCTAATAATCATATCACAAATTATAGAAAGGAAACCAACAAGCTTGATTTCCTACAATATGTGTGTACTCCATAAAATCACACCCAACCTAGGTGGCCTATCATCCTATAAGGCTTCACTCTTTGAGTAAAATTCTTAATTTTAAATTTAATTCTTTTAAAAATAAAAGTACTTCTCGAATGTAGAATTGGCATGAACTCTGATGCAAACACGATACCATCATTTTTCTTGATGTAATACATGTTACAAGAGGATAATGAAGTTGCTTAACCTTTGTCAAATAATTTTAAACTAGTGCACAATTCACATTCGCGAAATACTAGACTACTAGGTTTGGAATATAAAAAAGGACATAGCTCTCTTTTAAGAATGGCAGTGATATATCATAATGAAAACTGCAAAAGCTACCGTAAATAAGATGTGTATAAGGAGTTTACTAAAAAGAGGTTATTAAGCAGTTTACCTGAACTAGCATGTGCGTGAGGTAAATAAGGTCCGTCATGCTTCTGAAAACCACAATGGTTTGCGTCATAGGCCAATTAATTACTATGCACTTATGAACCTGCTTCCAAAAAAGTAAGCATGTAGGAGGAAGAAAATAGTTAAAAGATTAGTCGCAGATTAACAATAAAAAGGGAGGCTAATAATTTATGCTATTAGAGTAATTTTGATAATTATACATACATAGGAATAAATATATACAAGAGATGGGAGGAATATCCTCCAAATCAATCCCTAAGATCTCTCTAACGTGTTTTTAATATGTACAATCTCTGTAATCATGCATTTTGGTTTCCTAACATTCCCCTCAAGCTGGAGCATTCTTGTTACAAATGTAATCACAGGCTTTAAGGGTAAGTTCCTAATGCTTGGCAACAAGACAAGCTTTAAGGTGAGCCATGGAGACATTTCGCTTAAACTTAATTGTAATCAGGATGCAGTTTTACCTTATCTGTTAACAGCAAGTAAAAGAATAAGGGGTCTATGAAAATGGCCAATAAGCAAGAAATGACAATGAATTGGTTCCACTGCTGAACAACTTTGGCATGTGGATTCATGACCCCAAATATAAAATGCTTCAGCAAGGATAACTTTTTTCTTGCCCACCCCGTTGCACCTCCATGCAGAACATCATGAAGCTGCAAAAGAACAGGAAAAGAACAAGAACTAACAAACTAAGCAATCAAAGGGAGAATATAAGTACATAAGAAGAATAGTTTTAGCGTAATTAAAAAGAAACAACGATTTACATGAAGTGAAATTAAGCATGCCAAATAAAGCAATGATCCAGGCAATTGAGACAGCAGCAGCAGTAATCGTATAAGCATTCAAGCTGCTATTGCATCTGATTCATTGTTTAAAATAATACCAGATATATAAATTGCTAATATAACTGGAGGCAAAAGTTTTTTAATTATATACTGATGGTAGAAAATATACAGATTCATATGTTCTCTGAGATGGACGATGAAGATGACATATTCACAGCCAAGTTGAGGTAGAGAGGATAGCCTGGGGCAGTTTGCCATTTGGCAATGTTTGTCCTGAACATTTTTTAAGGATGGAGAAATGGAACCCCCATCATCTACGCAATGGGGGCAGTCTGCTATTTGGCCACAAACCATTTGGAGTTACTAAATCTGAAGGACATACAGAGGAATGGGTAGCCCAGAAATTGAAGCCAGTATTTCACAATTTGCATGCCCTAACGCAAGATTCATGCCACCATAGTTAAAAATGGAAAAAGTAAAGAACCAGGCCAAGTTAAGGCCCCATCTGGACTTCTAGAAGTCTGATTAGGTCTGGCAGGCATGAATCATTTTCCTACCATTTGGGGTAGAGGTCAGGTCTTCTTACATAGTTACATCTCACCCTCCTGAAACCTACTTCCGAGTGGGATTCACTGGGTCTATTTCGTTTGGTTTGCTTTGGTTTCGTTTAGCCATGAATCAGTTCAAGGTCTGCGTGAAAAGAACAGCATGACTTGGTCAGATTTTTTAAAAGGAACCAGTCTTGACCAAGTACAATTCTAAGAGAGACAAGTCAGGGTTCCATTCTTGTGTACCTCTGTTCCAATCCCAAATGTTTGTCTTGAGTTCTTCAGCAGTTCCTTGTAATTGTAAGAACTTGGGCATGTTGTACAGTAAGGATCATTGCACATCCCCAATTGTCCTGACCTCAATAAGTGTTCATTTTTTGCTTCATTATCATGATCTCCCCTCTGATGATTAAGCATTATAATGTTTTCTTGTTCCACAGGCTCTCTCCTTTCAAAGCCTATGGTACCATGGATGGACTGTGAGGGATTCCCTTGTCTCTGTCTACGTGGAGTTTTTCTTCCACAACACAAGGGACCTGTAAAGCCAACAAGACTTGTTGCACTGGAATCCAACTCAAATGAGCTCACTGGGATGGATATTGAAACACTTTTGCTCCTGCGTGACAACCTTCGCTGTGAGTTATCCTCATTTCTATCGGATGGCCAGTCTGTATCGGTTAACATTGGCATATCATCTTTTTCAACAGCATCCATCTATCAAGCAAGCAGGACAGCTGCATGAGATATGAAACAAGTCCACAGTTGTAAGATTGACTTTTCTCGAACACAAAAAGAAAACATATAAATACTTCTCAAAAAACAGAAGCAAAGGTGAAATATTCTTTGAGATTAGAATACTCGCATTCAAAAGGAAATTAAATCATCAAAAACAAACCAAAATAGCTTGTGGTTATATTACTTTACAAGATTCCTCCTCTTAAACTTCCCTAACCAATGATGAGTTGAAAACAAGCTCTATCTAAGCAAGTTCAAGCTAATTAGCAGTTTAAAGCTGTTAAAACCAAATCCCACTTGCTTGAGAACCAAACAATGAATTATAATTTCACAAATGAAACATATTCCACAGAGTTCCATGTGACTGGATCAAACTTACAATTTTTTCAGTGTTTTCCAATACTCCAGAGACACCAGGTGATACACCAACAGTCGAACTATGTTTTACATTTAAGCATTTACCAATACTTGATTTTTCAAGTTCTCATACATAAATTTCAAAAGCATATAATACAATAATAAGTAAAGTTAAGAGTCCACAGATGGCGCTGAATGATGCTGCTGAAAGTCCCAGGCACCTTTGATGTATCATGTATGTGGACGCTGTATAAGTGTAGACTCTTAGTGTCAATTGAGTCCCGATACCCCTACAAAGATCCTGAGATTGGGGAAGACAAAGGATCTATTAATCTTTATCCAGATAAAAAGGCATGGGCTTCTACAACTCTTTGTTGTGCATCTACTCATGTACAACTTGTGACGGAAAACATGAGGTTTGACGTGTTTCTATGTTATATCTTAGATCATGGCTTATGATTCTGAAGCCTTTCCCTTAACTTTTAGCTTACCCAAGTTAATTTGGGTTGCCACTATCGTTAAAGCACTTCAGTTACATGTTCTTCTTTGCTGATTGACTTGCCTTACAGATGCTGAACTGCTTTCGCTCCTAGGGCTGTTCCACTACTGAAGAATAATGACGCATCTTATTTCCTTTTATCGAAATATGACTTTTTTATTCATCCCTCAAAGAGTAGGGGCCTCTCATTCTGCTTCCTTGCAGATATGTTTTTCATCTTGACTTTCATTTGGAATCATATTCAGATATTCTTTTAGAGAAGATGTTCTCCCTTGTCCTTCCCTCTTCCTATGATCTTGACATGAAAAGTGATTTCCGAGAGCTCCCATTGGCCTTTCTAGTAAAAAGAAGATTTACACAGAATGGTATGAACTCTTGTTGCATAATCACTGGATAATCTCCTAAAAACCATATGTGCAGTTTCTCCCCTCATGCATTCATGCTAAAATCCTATTGTGATCGAGATTCTTCAATTCTTACTAGCTAACAGTGTGTGTTGAAAAAGAAAATTTACCTCCTCCAGGTAATGACTTAATCAGCAGCAAGATGGTTCAACTCCATAGTGATTTCATCAGCTTTTTTCTTGCATCAGCAATTGCCAGTAATCTGTTTGTCGCAGGTGATTTAAATGCTTTCTTTAAATCTCATAGCCGTCGTAGGAACAAAACAAGTAATGGAGAATGCTAGATTACTAAAAGGGAGGTTCTGCCACTCAGGCACTTACTGGACACCCAAGCTGGCTGAAGAACCTGCTACTGAACCTATATTTGTTCATAGTGGTCCTTTACGAGTCCAAAACGCCTCCTCAAAGGGGGTCCAAAAAAACAGAATGAAAGGGGATAGCTATTATTCATGGCTTATTCTACCTTCTTGATCCCACTTGCAACTAGACTTTGGAGTTGATTGGGTTGGTGTTTACTGTTTAGTGTTTGGTCTTTTCTCAGGCATTCCATCGGTCAACAAGCAACAAAAGTTCTTGTGTGTACATAAATACATATATAATAATAATAATAATAATAATAATAATAATAATAATAATAATAATAATAATAATAAATTATCTTTTTGAAGTAGTGATATTTATATATGGCAAATTAAACTCACACACACTTCTCACCTTTTAGTGAGAGTTGAACCCGGACCTCCAAGAAGGTGGAGTTACTGGGTACCGTTGGGCCAATCCCCATTCGGTAATAATAATTTATTTTCTTACTAATATGTTTGGTACATTGGCTGGATAGGATGGAACAAAACTCACTTTGCCACCAATATTGAAATTTGGCGGACATGGGACAAAGACCTAGACCGGGACCGGGTGGGACAAAAAAGATTTTCTCTATTCCACCAAAATAGGTGGAACAAGATGGGACAGAACAAAAAAACTACCAATATACCCTCATTTGATATGACCCTAATATGGTATTTGGTTTAATGGTCACAACCGCCCATCGCCATCGCCATCGCCCCCAGTGGCAACCACCACTAACCACCTCCATAATCACCACCTCCACCACCACCACTTCCACCTCCATCTCCACCATTGTCAGCTGCCACCATTGTCCACCATTAGGGGCAACTTGTCGAACGCAGTCCTATCCATTCCCAGTCGTGCCAAACACCTGACATTCAACTTGTCTTTGTCCTGTCCAGTTTTGTTCTCTTGTCCTGTCCAATCCATTCTTCTCTGTGTACCAAACGCTACCTAAAAGAACTAGAAATTTAGTGTCGATTTTCAAATTTGAATATTTGATGTTTTAAGTAGATATGCACCAATTTTAGTGATGCTATAGCACCATTTCTTCTTGTTATTTCTTCATTTTATTTCCCAAGTTCAGTATTTTATGTTTTGATTTTACAACTTCCTTGTTTGGAGCTAAAATATAGAAATGAAAATGTTTATATGATTCTAGTACTGATTTTTGAAAAATGCTTCACTTGAAGATAGGTTGTCGTAGCATGGTTTATAAGGAGATTTCCCCCCAGAACGATTGAAGTAATGAAATTATAAGAACTTTTTGGACTTTAGAAGATCTTGTCTCCAATATTGCAATAGTTATTTGTTTTTGTACTTTTTGTTTTTGTTTTTAATCCCTTGTGCATATAAAAGGGAAGGCTAGGGTTGCTTTGATCAAATGTTTGATAGTTGCTTTGTCTTTTTGTAGTAGTTCCAAGTACTTGTGTAATTCCTTTTAAAGCTTTGAAGGCTTTAAGCCTTTTAGTAGTAATTTCTTGATAGTTGCATTAATTTCCAAGTGGTTCATCTTTACTTCTTTAGCACTTCAATTTTCAAATATAAGAATGTTTCCTACCCAAGCCCATGATGGCCTAAAAACCTTAGCTTGGATGTGGGTGAAGTTAAGACTAAAATCAATATTGATGGTAGAGGTTGTTAAATAATAGCAATCATTTCCAACCATTCATTCAAGGTTAAAATATCCATAGATGAGTTGATCACTTGTTTAAAAGTGTTAAAACGGGTTGGACTTAGAGATAAGCCAACATGCACACATCAACTTGAATGATATGAAGATATGTTTGAAAGAACTACTTAGAATTACAGAAACGTGTTTTCATTCATATAGCTTATATAAGGGATAGTTTGTATCATGCCTAGACTTCAACTCTACATAGAAATATGGGAGTTAGTTTATTGATAAGTGTTCTCAATCCCAAAAGAGTGCTTTAAAGAAGTTGATGATTGGATAAGATGAGTTATTTGTTGCAACAATTGTAGCAGCTTTTTGATGTATAGCATTTGGCCAAATTTATTTGTTTGCAAGTCTTAACACTAACAGATCTGTACACCCTTGCTCTTTAATTAACTATGTTAAAACACTTGCAAATATTTCTTGAATTCGCCTTCTGAAATTGTCTTTTAGTTTGGCTTGTGAAAGTTAAATTTTCTTGTCTTTTTTTTGAAAGGGTGTCCCAGGCTATGCCTTCACTAATCTCGGCAAATTGCGATTGTAAGACATCAGTCCTTATAAACTCAGCGTCCACAATTGTTGTCAACAATAGTCGGTACTTTACCCGATATTACTTGTGAAAAGACAGCAATGATTTGACATGTATACTTCCATAAATCTTCATTAGCTAATAGTCTTAGAGGTCTAAGAGCATCTCCAACATATTCTCTAAGATGGAGAAAATGGGGATTTTTAGCAAGTTTTTCCTCTAACAAAGATGCTCCAAAACTTTCTCCAAAATGGAGAAAGTAGGAGAGAGAGTGTAAATTTCTCCAAATTTGGAGACCCCTCCAAAAATGATTACTATGAGAGAGAAATTATTTTTTATTATATTCCACCAATAGGTAACCTTGAATGAAATGTTTATGAAGGAGAAATAATAGAAAATGAGCGATCTCCTTGATAGTCTTCATCGGGGGCATAATCTAAAAAAAATACCAAACGGAACCAACTCTTATATTTAACTAAATGTATTGAATATTTTGATAATATAATTAATAATATAATCTCCCACATAGAGAACCCGTTGAAGTTCAATGCAAAAAAATTTAGAGATTTTGAACTTTGGTTCTCCATTTTAGAAAACTTTTGGAGAATATGTTGGAGACGCCCTAAAAGCCTTGCAACAGAAGTACAAAATAAGTAGTGGATAATTTTAATTTATCTGGAAAATAGGGTATTTATTTAAGGATGGAAAAGCATTAGGAGAACTAACAATTCCTGTACAAGGACGAAGACTAAAGAACACTTCAGAGATAGGATCAACGATAAGAACATACAAATGAATCTACAACAAGTTGAATCCTCCAATAATAGAAAAAAAAAACAAAAGCAACTTCCCTTTATGAATAATTAGCAAATGATTCTATAGAATGGTTTTTTGTGTTGGAATACTCGCAAATTCCAAATATGCAACAAAAAAGAACTTATTTTTCTCTCCTTTGAAAATGACCGTTTACAATTCCATTCCCATGATGATTTCATCCTACCAAAAGTAGCAGAAAAGGGGGATCACTTTTAACTTTTTCCTCAAGAAAATTGACCTACAGGTGTGACGTTAAACAGGAAAAATCTGCAGTTACCTCCAACTTTATCATCAAACTCACCACAATTTTCCTTTTATCAAACATGGACAGAACTAAAACACACTCTCAAACAGCGAAAATACTGAATATATAAATAACTAATGACAAATATCTTTTAGTAGTTTGGGAGCAATCACATTCAGTTACTCAACCACATTTGTGCGAACAATCAATAACCATTTTATTTACATTCTTCAAGTAAAATTGAAAATTGAAGTGAGTTCATGATCAAATGAAGCATAATCAGTAACAAAGAAGCACAAATTCATAAACAAACATACAAATAAAACAGATGAAGTTAAGACATACCCTTTTAAGGACTGTAATTAAGCTCCATCAAGCAAACAATGGGAAAGTCGCAAGAATTGAAGAAGTGAAAGCAAGAAGAAGAGCAAAATGAAGAGGGGAAACACCGGTAGGAATGGGTAAGGCATTGATTGAGCGTAGACTTAAACCATTGACCCGGTGAACTGGTAGTTTTGAAACGCGACAAAGGCAGACGAATTACTAGGCTCCAACAATGCCTTTTCACTCTAACCTCCATCGCCATATCATATATAAACGAGTAAACTGCATTTGTAGTCCCTGTTCTTTTTCCATTTTTATGGTTTTGGCCCCTATAGTTTGTTTATTACAAATTTGTCATCGTTGTTCGAGTTTTTGTCCTATTTTGGTTCTAGTCACAAACGGTCGTTAAACAAATTCATTAAATAAGGAGTAATTTGGTCTTTTACCTCCATTTTGTGTTTATCTTATTTTATTTTAAAAAATTAATATAATATATAAATACTTATTTTCATTTTTCTTTATCCTCACCCTACTCCTATCCACCCTCACCCCTCCTCCTTCTCTCAGATATCGTCTTTTCTTTTCTTTTCAAAACTCAGCTCACCGTTTATTTTTAATTCGTCAATGATTTACTAGCTTAAAACATACACGAACACATATACATTAAAGTACACACTTTTCAAATACAAACGCCCATACAAAAAAGGAGACGTGGCTATCTGGATTTAATGAACCCCATAAACACACATACTACCCAGCGAATGGAACCTATAAACACCCAACCACAAACGCATACTTGCTCCATTAAGTCCCTCAATGAACCTGATTAACACACACACATACATATAACTATCGAGCCCCCTATAAACCCCATAAACATGCACACATATACACATAACTATCGAGCCCCCTATGAACCCCATAAACATACACACACACCCTTCGGGTATACGCACCCATACAAAAAAAGTGAAAAGGCATAAACTCGACCATCTTGGATGAACTACATAAACACACACATTACCCAACCTTTACATGTATACTTAAACACACACTACCCAAACCCCACATAAACACACATGCACACACTTATGAAAACACAGGGGCCTCGACAATCTCTTGTAAACCCCATAGAAACCTAAAATCCGACCACGTTTATTGTGATAAGGATGGTGGGTGGTCTACACAAGTGTACATGTATATATACGGGGTTTTATTCGTGTATATATGTATGTATGTATGTATGTATGTATGTATGTATGTATGTATGTATGTATGTATGTATGTATGTATGTATGTATGTGTGTGTATTAGTTTGTATGTGTTTATGTATGTTTTGTATATATATCGAGTCACCCAAACGAGAAAGGTGGTCAATTTGCAAGAAGGCAAGAAGTTTCAATATCATATATGATTACATGCATGATGTGCACGCTTAATCACATATGATTAAACATATGTTGAATTAACAACACATAGCTTCACCAAGTCACCTGCGTCTCCTTTGGGTGTGTTCAATCATATATGATTAAGTGTGTTTATCACGTGTAATCATATATGATTAAGTGTGCTTATCAAGTGTAATCATATACGATCTTGGAACTTCTCACCTTCTCTCAAATTAATTAACTTCTCACATGATCCTTCATACATACATATATATATATATGTATATATATGTGTGTGTGTATGTGTGTATAGAGAGAGAGAGATGCCCATTTATGTGTTAACCAAACATATAGTGAGAACTTTGTTAAAAAAGCTCATCATTAAAATTTTCAATCGATGGATTAGATTGAATTAGTGGCAATGTTGTAATACTTGTTAATGAAAAGGGAGTTCATTTTGGGAATCATAAATGAACAAAAGGGTATTTTCGTAAATTTGTAAAAGAAGTTGGTTTAGGAAACGTGCGTTCATTTTGGGATGCTTTTTATTCATATAAATTCACAAATGAACACCTTTATAAGAGGTTCACAAATGAACCTATGCATAAGGTTCACGTAGAAATAGATGTGCATATGAACAGTACTTAAATGCATAATGGATGTAGCCTTGCTTATAATGTTCACACATGAAGAAGACCTATATGCCTTGATGATTCACTTATGAACATAAAAAAAAAACACAAATAACTGTCATAATTATACTCAATAACTGTTATATTTATCCTCCCTAAGAATATTAAAAGAATTACAAAGTACAAAACTACATCCCTACTCATTAGTAAGGGAAGTGATCCAACATGGGAAGGATTTGGCATTTGATTGGTTCAAGTTGGTTTATAGAGTTAACACTAACTATGCGGTTAACAAATGATGGGTTGGGTTCCGATGAAAATGGAAATGATAATGAGAAGCATAAGAAGTGATTTTTATTCTTGGATCAATCATAATTGAAGATCAAGACTAATGTGGTGCACTATGAGACACGTAAGAAATGATTTTTATCCTTGGATCAATCATAATTGAAGATTAATATTAATGTGGTGCACCGAGATGCACCAGATCAATTCTCGTGATAAGTGCAATTCATTGGAATAGGGCGAGATTAATTAAAAGTGTATATATGGTCCATATCCCTTCTTACGCTTCTCACTTTAACTCGTATTCTTACACGATCATTCATTAACAAATGATTGTGGCTCTATATATATATATATACAGAGAGCGAGAGAGAAAAAGAGGAAATGCGAAAACTTAAAATTTTGCGATAAGACGGGGAATTTTAATACCATATATGATTACACTTCTTTGGGTGTGCTTAATCATATATGATTAAACATCTATGTGTTGTCATTTGTCAATGTAGTATGTGCTTAATCATATATGATTAAGCACGTATATCATGCGTGTAATCAAATATGATATTGAAACTTCTCATTTTCTTACAAAATGTTTAGTTTCTCGTTTGAACCTATCATATATATGTCTGTGTATGTGTGTGTGTGTGGAGTAGGTATTGCGAAGTGGGGAGAGAGAGTTGGGTTAGACTGCATTACATAAATTATTATTATTTTTTTGTTAAAAGAAGAAAAAAATAAAGTAAAAAAGATAGATCAAATTGCCCCGTATTTAACGGATGTTATTAATAGTCATTAACAAGAGGGATTAAAATCGCACAAAACGCAACTTATGATGACAAATTTGTAATAAAATAAATTTTAAGGATTAAATTAAAACCAAAAAAGTAAAATACAGCACTGAGACCAAAAACGAAGATCACTCTATCATCAACCCAAATACTTTCAACTTAAATAATTCATTTTCAGGTTTCTAATACCAACAACTTTGTTGACTGTCATTTTCAGGTTTCTATTATTTTAATAAATTTATTTAATATTATCAAGAAAGTAAATAAATAAAATTAAAAAAATTAGCTAAAAACCAGATTACAAAGAGTTAAAAAATGTAGTTAAAAGTGTGTTTAAGAATCTTTTAAA